TGACATTTGAGGTGGGTGATGGCAGCACGCAGATTTCGGGAAATGGACGACGTGTTTCCAACAAAAAATGTTACTTTTAGGGAATCGAATTTGCTGCATCCTGAGCAAGGAAAAGGTGAACTAATAAAGTACGAAGTTGCATACGATATACGCTCACAGGCAATTAAATCTATCTCTCTGATGCTCTCTGTGATATGAAATAGTGCTTTCATCTATGCGGCTCAGACTCGGAGTGACTGGGTACCAATGAGAATCCGAGGTCTAATCGAATAGGCCGATAAGAAAATAAACAATCAAGACAAATTAAAAACACACCAGGGACAGGGCAGATGGGTGTCAGAAGTTCACTTGACTGGAAATCATGCACGCGAATCAGGACAAAATGTAGCGGTGGTGTGCCTGTATGAAACTGAAGAAGTTAATTACCGTCTCATCAGCATGAATGAATCGGACCAGGCCGAACAGAAAGCGGGAAATGAACCAAGTAGCTGGAAATCAAACCACATACACACACACACACCACTCGCGCACACAAATCAGACAGTCCCGCAGCAGGCACCGCAAATTTGAAAATAAAATAGAACAGTGCTGCACACATGTATATATGAATGTGTGGATTCACGCAGGTCGATCAGAACCGCGTGCGCACCGGTGTACGCACGCTGAAACAAGAAAACGGACATGAGCAGGCCCACGTCGTTATCAGATCCCGAAACTGAGAATATGGCCGTCCGTGGACAAAGGCAAGCACACCGGTGATGATGATGTCGGGGTATTGAGGAAGTGCCAGTCGTTGTCAGGTTCGAAAGTTTCAACCGCGCCAAAGCGACCCAGAGATGGAGGATGCAAAACAGGTAGACTTGTGACACTATCCATCTGTTTTGTGGTGACTCAACACCAAGTAATTCAGTATTTGTCTTTCAAGTAGTCTCGTGTATTCAAACTACAGATTGACTGATGAGTCACAGAATGGTCTAAACTGTTGATGGTACAAAACCCAATATGAAGAGATCGAGACAATGAAATAAGAAGCGACAGCAGGTATGTGATAATATTACATACACAGGTGGGAACGTACGAGGGAACATGCAATCGTGAGAGCATATTCGATGGTTCGTTTGCCCGCGCGCGCATACACAGAGACACGTAGGCGAGCAGGGAGCGTAAGTCATCCACGAAAAAATTATTATTATCAACCAAATGGGACAGAAATGGATCGGGTAAAATCGACAACACCCCCAAAGGGGGTGATGATGTATTGCAGGAATCGGGGTTAACATCAAAAACGGTGACCAACGGATCGCTTCGTCGCGAACTGATTTAGGCAAAGTGGCACGTAGAGAAACCCAATGGGGTCTACGTACACATGAGGAAGGAGAGTGGGAGTGGGGAATTCTGAATTGTTTTTAGAGGATCACAGTGGTGTTTGATCGAGAATTCAAAGCAAGACTTTAGTAACAAAACAGCTGTGTGCGTTTCTTTGCACCGGGGTAGTTAGATTCTTTGGGAACAAACCAAATGCCCAAATGAAGACACAGAGACAGAGAGATTGTGAAGTGAAGCGCATTGCGCAACACTGAAGCGCAGCAAAGAAACAGAGGTAACATAACATCAGGTGCCGTGAACAGTTGCGTTTTGAACAAGAATATCAATGATCACACCCGGGATCCCAGGAAAGTGTACGCAAGTACAATAGCCAGGATCAAAATGACTGAGCTGAGTAAGATGATCATTGTGCTGCTCCACGATGCAGTGCCTGTGAAAAGAGCAGAAATTTGCACAGTTAAGTTTGATAACATATCAAGTGATTATTATTATTATTAGTTAAACGAGCAAACCGATGGACACTTTGGAGTACCGCAACGGACGACTGTTCAAAACTATTATACAGATAAATTTTATGAAAAAAATCAACCTTCAGTTGTACTGAAGAAATACGAATTGGTCCGTTCTGAAAAATTTTAACCGATGAGAAACTTAGCCTTGTATTATATGACGTCATTTTAACAGAAATATGTATGAAGTGTTTTTGTGCAAGTTTTCCCCCATTTCACGTAACCGTAGAATTGTGCACAAGAGATTAAGTGAGTCCTAAGATCACAAGGATTTACCGTGAGAATAAATTGATCGGCGTTACATCACTCTGTACAAAAGGCTGATGTGGTGCACGACTGAAGGCACTGTGCACCACGATTGGAAGGACTTATTGCTCGGTAATGGTAACCAACAGCTTGAGCTCCGGAACTTAGAGCAATGTACCACATAAGGGCCCAAGCGAATAATGGAACTGGTAAGGATTTGTGACACTGAAGCTGCTTTTAGCCATTTGATGGCAGTGGCAGAGTTCGGACCTCTAACCGTGACGCCCAGTGCACATCAATCACCTATAGCTTAAGATCGTGAATAATGCAGGGCACTAAAGGGAATAGTGTGGGACAAAGCCGGGCGGCAGGGGAACCATCAGTTTCGGTGAGTTATGGCACCGCGGTTACTATCAACGACTTTAGTGATACTAATGCAAATCAAGCAATCATCATCACTTGCGTAAAGCTGTGACAGATTTTGTGACCTACTAGTAATTTATTGCTTGATAGAAAACTCAAATGGCGCCGGTACATAGCTTGTCATAGCTTGCCTATGAGCGTCCTCCGGCGGTAAAAGATGCCGGAAGTAGATATACGCTTCGTGAAAAGGAGCGAATTCAACGGAGCAAAATCAATATGGGAGCCAAATCTTTGTTTCATTCAAATAGGCATTTGCAGTGGTTTTCATGAAAACAAAACAACCACCTACCGTAGCCCGGAAACAAATCTAGAAGTGTAACGAGAAAATAAGCCAATTGTCTTAGAGTGAAATTCCAGACGATTTGACGGATTCCAGTCAAGCACTAATCAATCCCCGGTAGAAACTATGCATTTGGCAATAGTGTTACTGAGAATGGAACCAATCTGTTCGGGGACATATTGTCTAGGGAAAATGAAACACGGTTCAGTGACACTAACCTGATGCTCCGGTTCCTTGATGCACGGTCTCCATGAGCTCCGCTTCCGAGATTTCGTCATCTGCGCTCCCTGTAGTCAGTAGGCAAGAAAACGAAGAGTAAATAATCATGCAATACTTTGCAGAGAAGTATAACACAAATAGAGAGGACTGTGCGTGAAGCTAAGTCTGAAGGACGGTCAGTTCAAATCAGTGTCAATTGCCCCACACTACTACCCACAAGTAACGGTGAGTTAAATGTGATAAATAGGGAAGTTGCACATAGGAAACGCAAACAGCAACTTAAAGAAGAGAAGAAAAAACAACGCATCGCTTGAATGTTCGAACTAAAAGTGGCGTGTCTTGAGGATTCAATACCAGAATGGAGAAGGCCAAACCGGCGTGATCGAGTAATGCTTCAACGAGTAAAACGGTGACTGGGAATAAACAGGTACTAACCGACCGATTGCAAGCGAAAACAAGCTAGCTCGAGAATTTGATAGAATGACATTTGAAAAAAGAAGAGAAATAATTTGGAATGTGTGTGTGTGTGTGTGTGTGTAAAAGAAGCACAGATATGACGGAAAAGCAAATCAAACGTGCATGCACCACTAGACTTTTCGCGAATACATGTAATCGAATATATATATATATATACTGCCCCAAGATAAGGTGAAATCTTAAGCTACCTTGTTCATACCGCTAGTACATGAGATATGTATAATTCATTACAAAGAATACTGTTTCTTTCTCACGATAAAGATGGTAATACTCCAATGATGTTTCTTGAAAACATTCGGTCTGAGCACACAATACTACAGTTCTTTTCCAATAGGTCAATAAGCAAGTTTCTTATATCAGGGGCTAGACAGTTCGTCCTTAGACGTATGAATCAAACTCCGATCTGAGGGTGCTACTGGATGGCACGTAGAAAATCCTGCTTTTCAGTGACGGATATCGGTAACCTAAGGGCCCGGGATTTGAAGTGGTGAATCTCATAAGTTATGTGTGGTATTGAACCGGACGATTGAAAAGCTGCTTAACACCAAATTTGGGTCCAAAGCAAGCCGGTAGCACACGAAGAATTTTCATCAAATTAGCGAAAATTCAATACTTTTGCCATTTACAGCGGGTCGGGGTATGCACAGTTAGGAAAGATAGAAAGCAATACATGTATGAACAAGAAAAGTCCTGATATGTGTGGGTAAACTAAGCTGGTCGAATGAAAAAAACGACGAGAATAAAAACAGGTCAGGTGGAAAGATTAGTCTCGTTCCTGAGATGTACCACAATAGCAGAAGTGATGCGGATAATAAATGTGATCACAACTGATTGGCAAACGGCAAACGTATTGGTCGTTTTCGATGGTTTTTACCATCCAAATCACTTTGTTAAACGAAAAAAACTTGAACATTCTTACACTGGTTCATATTTGTTCTCACTGGGATTTAGAGCTTCATCGGTGACAATAAGGGTGTAACACCTACATTAGAGAATCGAAACAACAGTGCAACTGAGTGTTCACCTTCAACAACGTTCCCCTCGTGCGCTTACGTGGGTGCGTGAGTACATTGATGACGATTACCGTGTATCTTGACAATTGAGGCTAAGCTTTAGTTTCATGCCATACGCTTGGGAACTGATATACGCACAGATCCGGGACCACAATGTTGTCCTCAAGAGCAAAAACATTACACAAAACGATCCACAATATCTACAAACTTCGAATTAGAAATTCATAAAGCAGTGATCACCATAAGAACGGTTAAAATCCTATCCGTTATCACACACATTTAGAATTCAGAGACTTGAACATATTGTGGGTGGAAATGGTAATGGTAAAAAAGCTTTTAACTAACTTGTAAGATCTGATCACATGAGAATACGCACGCAAGCAGGCATAGGCGAGACATAGCGCATACATCTCATCGGTACTATAACAACCTTAATTAGCCAATCAGTAGCGAGTAAACAAAAAAATTTACAAAATATTTGGAACGATAAACAAGGAAGTTACTATGAAAAGGCGGATTTTGTCACTTGCGACACCGTTCAGCAAGCCTGTGAAAGACTGGTTGTGACAGCTAGTTCACTCAACGGTGAAAACCAATGGGATCACATTTGCTAACTTGGAAGATAGATTTACATCACGCACCCTTTGCCCGTCTAGTGGCACAGTTGTTTCCTAAATTATCATCCGTGTAAAGATCACATTCAGATTCACCTGGTGAAATCGTCATTCTACCGATTCGATTATCAGATTTTCGTTGGCTAACGGCTTTCTTGTAACCTGACTTAATGAAAGACACCTATGCCACTGGGATATCCCTGTGCGTGTCTGTGAATTTTGGATGACCAACTGGTAAAGAATTTCAAATTCAAGTTAAGTCAAACCAGTAGTAGCTTTATGCACCCGGTTACACTTCGCGGCCTCGTCCAGAAAAAGAACCGATTGTGCAAGGAAATCATCTCCGGATGGCACCGGTAAACCAACGACAAATGGTGATTTCCGTGATCTCATCAGAAAAGCAGATCCTACTGGAAGCTATGGAAACCAAAAAACCGAATTTACCGCATTATTCTTCGTAACCGAAAAGTAGTCACGATAAGACCTCTTGCGCAGCTATACCCAAGTCCTCAAGTATGCAACCTGTTTAGCTTTTTTTAGATGTGTTCAAACTGGGTATTTCAATGCGTATAAGCAACTTTTATACCTTTAGTCAGTGTGAAAAGCAGTCAGGAATATGTAGTTTTTCTCTACTGGCCAGTAAAACTTAGTTTCATCAAAATGAACAATGCACTCACTAAAAGTGATATCATTCTTGGACCGTCCGTTAGATTAGTCTGTAACGACTTAGATCAATGACAATTTGCTTAGCCGAGCTAAATGCATCCTCAATCACTGATTGAATTTCACTGTGCATAGCCCTAAATGCGCATTGTCGGGTCATTACTGTATAGCATATAGGTGCCCAAAATAAACATGAAAGGGTTCGAATTTTCAACTAATACGTCAGTCTTCGCTAACAGTACACATCAAAACGGGTCAGCGGGTAAGTAAGCGTTAAGCGACTCACTAAGACACCCCGGGGACCAGCTATGCGAGCCAATGTGAATGGAACCGGTCAAATGAGATACGCAAAAAAATAGCACATACGGAAGAATCAGGAGGGGGGACTTGAACTGATTAAAACAGCAGTCGCAGCAATCGGAGAGAATTTGCACATGACCAATAGTAATGAGTTTGAGCAGACAAAAAACGTTGAACAGAGGCATAAACCAAATCGGCTAGGTGAAGCCAGAAGAACGAAAGAATGGAACCTGTCGTCCGCAGCTATTTTAACTCAGAAGAGCAGGGATGCGCGACCTACGTGATGCATAGCTGGTGGCTGTTATTTGGAAATCAGTTGTGCACGAGAACATGAGCAAAACTTGTTAGATCAGTCGTACCTAGAGCTATGTTGGTTGATTTACTTTCGGGTTAAACAATCGCATTGCAATTGTGTACTATCCGTTTACTGGGTCACCGCAGATTTTGGGCGAAAGAGAAACAACCTAGAGGACGGAAGGATAGTGCAATTTATTATGAGTGGACCGAACAAAACTTGGGACATCTGAATTGTTTCATGAATACCATCAGTCAATTGAATTAGTGATTAAAAGTACTTTGGTATCTGTTCGTACTTTGTGTTAAGGGGTAGCTCGACAACAGGATTTTCACAACATTACAGCGAACATGTTGGTGGCACCAATACATTATAAAAGTCAGTGAAATATTAGTGACCTAGTGATACTCCGATGACATTGGCTACAACCTGACTAGTAGAGCCAGTCACTTCACCCGATAATTATGTTACGCTGGTAAAACGATCTATCGATAGTAAACGTGTGATAAAACCGACAGACGCAATGCGATGTGACTGGGTGAAATAATCCGCGTGTGGGTATAAACTGAGTTGGTGCCGTCCTCGACTGAGCAGTCAACTAAATGTGGGCGTTGGAGGATTGATTTTTCCTCCCACACCAGAATGGAACACACGCACATCTTAATGCCAATGGACATACGGTTCGGTGACGTTGCATTTACTTATCAGCTGATCATGAATACCGACGAACAAAAAACCGTTGTCGGGCTAGTCACAACGCACCGCACTGAGTCAGGTTGGTTCCACTACAAAGGGCAAAATTTGCGAGAGCACAGTCGTGTGTGTTGAACTAGTGGATCATTATGGCTGTTGGAATGCGTTCTCACAGGACCCTTGGGCATAATAACGAATTCAATTAGATGCGAAAGCAGAGCGCTACATATATATGCTTAGTTTCAACGGGCAGACTAGTCAATTATACATCTAGTCTTAGTTCTATACAAACAATATTGACCAAGGTTTGTGAACACAGGAAGTATACGGAAGAAAAGCATACGGTCGAAATCTGTTTATAAAATGACAAGCTAGCACTACCGTACCAGCAGATGATGATCACTAACGAACTGAGAGCACCACACAGCGTACCGGACTACAACGAGCGGGGGGCCGGGGGGAGAACTAATTAGCAAGGTATGTGACCAATGAAAAAGACAACCAAAACGCACAATGTCACGTTCTTTGCTCCGATCTAAGGAGCATCGACCGGGACAACGTTGACCTCACATAGTTGTAAACGTCTATCGTGTCGTTTCTCGGAATCCAGAATCCTCCCGAGAGAATGAGCAAAATTCAACACTATGCTCATCACAACAAGACGCGCGCGCGCACACAAATCAAACGTGTACCACGCAAGCAAGTGACAAAACATGAGGATGAGGCACCTGATCGTGAGCAAGCGACTTTTTTGTTGCATACTTCAAACCAACATGGCTCAGAGACAACAGGGAGAGAGAGAGAGAGAAACGGACCACCAATAAGATAGCGGGTGGCAGGAAAAGGGATCGATACACAAAGATATTGATCGGATTATCACGCAAACTAGTAAAATAAATTTCTAATTATGATAATTAAAACGCGGCAAATAAACATGGGCTTCTTTGATGTTGAAAAAAAGCCACTCGATCATAGATACTTAGTTATCATCGTTTTGGTTAAACGGCGAAATGTACGCGAACATATGTTCCCGATAAGCTGATTTTTAAGTAGGTTTTATCATATTTATTGGAAATAATGCGATGCTGGTAGTCAAATGGGAATAGACAAAATGGTTTGATTAGAGAAAGGATTAAAAACAAACTTCTAGAAAGCATATCGTTGCCCACAATTCGGGTCGGGCTTCGTCATCAATTGATCGACAAACAAATTTCGTTGTTAAGCCGGAAAAACAATGCTGAATTTAGCATCAAAACAACTAACCCTCTGGACTCTTTTCCAGCGATGTGTCCAGGCATGAAGCATCAATGCGTTCGTTTAAGGGGAATATCTGTGGTCTATTGTTGTTGCCGCTACCGCTGTTGCTGTCACTTTTGCCCAAGGACGCCATATCCATGTCTGCAATGCCGCCGTAACCAAGACAACTTTCCACAGAAGAAGACGGACTGTCGACTCCGGAATCCCCGGTATCGCCATCACCTTTAACTCCAATAGGAACACAGAAGTAGTGCAATCGAGCAACCACATCTTCGGCAGTTTCGGACAAAAACTTGTAATCCGAAAGTGGCAGAAATGGGCATGCCGGGAGACGGATAAGCACGCGCTGTGGTAACAGCATTCGGGGAACTGAAACCATTAAGAGTCAATAAAAATAGGAATCAGATATAGGAAAGTGTGTACATTGCTTTTATTAGACAGGCATTCATTATAGCAATAGAACCAAATTTGGCGATTCGAAAGCACGCTATGAACTGTATAGACTATTTAGAAGATAGGAAACCAAGAAGTAAACTGGTTAACATCAAATTTTGGCTATTTGGGAGCTTGAAACGTTTTGCCATCCGAAATTAAATATTTTAAGTGTACACTTGTGAGGTGTACCACGTTCAAGTAATGAAAGTAAAATAGAACCCAGTGGAACTAGCAATGTATAATGGTGACTTTTATTAGTTTAGTTTAGTTTGTGAATGGTTTTCCTAAAAATAGCAGTTCACATTCTCCGAGTAAGGCACAAATCCTAACAACAGTCATCACCGCGTTCAGTCTACCTTTCCCTTTTCTCCATCACTAAAGTGCACACATTTTAACCTACCGATTATTGTTAGCACGATCAGTAAAAACTTCATGAAGAACCGATAGAACAGTTGGTTTGCCTGTTTATTATGCATCATAATTGCGGTTGATAAGCATGATCAATTCTACACTGTGAAGAGGAATCTAAAGAAGTATAACACTTATTTTTCTCCGGCACACAGTCATTTTTATGACCATTTCACACAAATTTCACAATAAATTTTGCACACACTGCAACATTTGTCAACCTAATATCGATCCCCAACGGGATCCTTTAGGTTTATTCGGAAACCACAAGTGATTCACCAAGATGAACATAAAAAAGGTTATCACTGCCTCACGGATCAAAATGTCGGTAATCGTGAGAAAGTTTAAAAGTTCACAGAGAAATGCCGTACAGTCAGAATCGGTTTTCAGTATCTTACCTAGTAACCCAGTTAGTTGTCGTGTTTCCAAAACGATGACTAAAATTTCAGTTGCATACTCTGATTCAGCACGTAAACCATAAACAACCTGGTTATTTTTCATTAGGAACGTATAGCGAAAAATGGTGCCAGTCGGTTCTTATTTGACAGTTCCATCCGAAACTATATATAATAATAAATTTCTATCGAAAAACAAAGTGTGATTCCTCAATTCATGGGACAAAACTGGTGGTTTTATGTTACGCAAATAACGATAAGCGAGAAACTTGAAATCACAACAAAGTGAAAAATGAGCACAATACACAGAGCCAAGCAGTCTGTATTTCCTTAGGATAATGGATGATTTTCTGTTCATTCTACTCTCCTTCGGTTTTAGGACAGAGCTATCGTCAATATCCTCCGTAGCCTGTTCAGGAGGTTTGGATCTCCAGAGATGCTGGTGAGTGACAATATCGGTCAATTCACATCAACCATTTTCTCTGCGTTCTGTGAACGATCTGGCATAAAACACATCCGAGCTCCACCTTACCACCCACAGTCAAATAGCCAAGCCGAACGCTTCGTGGGCACCTTCAAGCGAGCACTTCAGAAATCCAAAGGGGAAGGTACCAGGGGAGAAGTTCCGGAAATGTTTCTACTAAACTACAGGGTAACACCAAATCCCAATGTCCCGAACAGTGCGTCTCCGGCCGAGGCAATGTTTGAAAGGAAACTTCGTATACCATTCGACGTAATCCTACCGGAGCGATACAGCAACAAACCATTGGAAATCGCTCGCCCAACAGCAATGGAGCTAGAGTTCAGCCGGGGCTATAGTACGCGAAACCGATCGTCCGTGAGGGGCCGAAACGTTTTGGCGAGGGACTACCGCAATAACGAAGAAAGGTGAACACTTGGTTGAGTATATCGACGCCGGGGAAAAGTGATCTACGAAAATCTTCGTTGGCTCTGAAGTGTGGATGCAGCACACCAACCAGCTAAAACCGACAATCTGCAAAGATGAACTGGATCCCGAACGGACATTGTCGCTGGACGCATTGACACATTCACCATGCCAGTCCCCAGCCGTGAACCAAAAAAATCAGGACCCTCGGTGAGTATGGAAGAATCCCTGCAACCTGGACGTATACAGTAACAGTACCGTTCCAAATCCACCCGAGCTTACGATCCTGCAACAAGACATCGAGCTCAAAAGAGATGTTAAGACGGAGCTTAAACAACCCATATGATCGCGAACGCCTCTGAGTCGGGACACGCACGCTCGCAACGCCCCAGACAGGCTGAGCCCGATTGGATGATCGCAGAACGAGTTAGCTAATATTTGTCCGATCAATCAACGATATGTCCAGGACGAAATCTAACTGGTGCGTCACTACGCCGTTCTTATATGCTTGATTCGTTCTATAAGTTTGCGTATCGAAATCGATCCGAAAAAATAGACGCTGATTGTTGTATCCAGCTGTGTTCTCTTTCCGAGTTATCGTTGGGGTTTAAGCAAGAGTTGCTGGTGCTATTCGTACATCTAGACCGAAAACAACACCTTTTACTTTCCAGCCCCACATTTTTATCCTCTATACACAGGAAATTGGCTGTTTAACACAATTGATCACCTCGTACGATGAATGTTAAGCGGTGAACTCTATCATCATACCAACTGACATCAAAACAGAGCCTCATTACTCATGGCCCTCTGATTATGCTTATCATTGAAAGTATTCTGGTGCTCTGGTTCTGAACAGCACAAATAAGAGAAGGCGGTGGTATGGCTATTTTTTTCTTCTATTCCATCTCATCCAACTCTTCACAGTCTCCACCCACGTGTTATGCGACTAATCATTTTGTTCTTCGGTTAAAGGGCCTACTGAACCCCACAAACTGTGGGTAAGCAAAAGTCAGTCAATCCGGACAGAACCGTGTCCCCAACTGAGTTCTCGAAAAAACTGCAATAGTTGGTCTGATTCCAAGAACCGTTGCCACAACCCTATCACCTAATATAATTGAAGGACAACGGAAATCATGACTGCCAGTCAACTTCGTCCATATATCGAACATAAGTGCCTACTAAGAGAATGTCTATAAATTTCTTGAGTGTGTTGCTTTGACGGAGATTAACTATTTCTGGTCTCCCATTGGTAACAAGCAAAAACTAACGAACATGGAGGTGCACACCCAGCTTCACCGTAAATACCACAATCTTTTGATCATGTATGGCACTTGAGGCTCATTCAAATACTTCCTACCTAGGACCATGGACTCTAGTGATCATCTAAGTTTGTGGGACTGCCTCCTGGCTTCTACCCGAAGGTCCCTTAGGCGTTCAGTATTTTGTTCACAGCTTATTGCTTCTTTATAATAATCTTTCACTGCTTTCTAGTTCGAGGCATACTACTGGTGATAACAATTTGAATGACTGGCGCTTTTATTTCCCCTCCCCTTCAAATTCTTGAAAATTGCAGTCCCATAAAATGATGGAGCTTTGACCTCTTCGCCTTTCACTTGACAGAATCCGACGTCATGCAAATATTTCACCATCGGTCTTTTATTTGCGTTCAGCCTCAAATTACTAGTCCACAGCCGGACCGGTAACTTTTGCTGTTTCTACCTAGTACGTTCATTTAACTCAATTTATTCCGTACGAATGTTTGACCAATGCTTCTCAAATAGAGAGTAGATTGTTAGCTACCCTAAGCAGACATCTGTCCAAAAGCATTACATGACTGGTTTGCAATCGGTCTTGCTCCCTGAAAATAGTTTCGTTTATTTTTCCTTACCTAAACTGGTCATTTATTTGGGAGCAACGAAAACCACAATGCGTTCATTGTGTACACTCTTCTCGACGCCTAACTTAGCGGGGCCTTATGTGGGTCACCATTCCAAGTCCCGGGGTTTAGGTTACCAGTTTCTATGACGAAGCAGAGGGTCTTCGTGACTATGGGGTTCACCCCGTCTGCTTTTCACCAAACAAATGTGTGTAATCAAAAAATAGCAATCAAAGTTCGTGAAAGCCAAGAGCGCATTCAAAATATTTTCCAAGAATCAGAGAAATATCAATAGTTTACCTTCGAGTTCGGCACTCGTAATGTGAAGTTCTTCGGTGAGTAGCTGAAGACGAGCCCAAATACTTTGAACAAGATCTTTTCTCAATGCCTTAAAAATTAAGCAAAAAGCACTATTTAATGATATGCGAACATGAAATTCATTAATAAACAAGTTCAAAACTGCGCTGATAATGCACGGAAAACAGGACAGATTGACTTGGAACTGACAGGTTACCCACAACATCTGCCTCATTCGAGTGGCTAGCGAAATGAAACGAGTTGATGCCTCAAATGCTGTGACAATTGATACGTAACATAGGAAATCGGCAGATCCCGGTCAGCGATGCAATCCGAGACAAAAGTGAGCACACTACTCACAATCAAGGAAAGTGGCTTGATTGCCGGGCAAAATACTTTCAAACACAATTCAGCTGGCCTGTTGCTAGAGCGATTGCAATTGAAGCTAAATGGGATTTTTCATGTGAACTAAAATAATTGGCAGTGCAAACCTGTGTTAAAGTGCTGAAGGGAGGAACGCAACGGACCTGACGGGTTTCTGAATTTGACCGACCTAGTTAGTTGTAGCCTAACACATCGTGTTGTAACACCTTGGATCTCCACTGAATATCAACGCCTTTTTGACACACACTGATCAATCTCGGCCGGTAGCGATCACAACGAAACACGAATCGTAGCGAGACGTGAACTCAACCCAAGCCTACGCAAAGACCGCGAAATCTGGTAGACTCAAAGCGCATCAAATGTGGAAAATGCTGACGCCATGGGAAACCCTGTAAACTTTCATCTCATCCGAGTCACCGGTATGGGTGAGAGGAGTGACCTGTGAAACTGACGATTCGCCTAGTACTAATCAACACCGACGTCTTACGTGCTGGGTGAAGCATAGTTTGACCGGTTACCAGGGTCAGTCTCCCACAGCTATTTCAACAAACGTCCCACGGCGCAAATCCGCAAAGAGACTCTAGCCCTGGGACTGTGCAAAGAGTCGGGCTGCGATGACCGTGACCTATCTTTATCTACCTAAGAGGAGCAGATCGGGGTCTCACCGGTCATGGGTGCATCAATTAAATCTTCCCCTCCCGACAGTTGCTAGAGCACCCTCCCGCTTACCGCTGTAGGATGATGATGACCCCACTCAGTTACCCAACAGAATAACATGTAAAGTAATTGCATCGCGCATCGAGTCCCATGGTATAGAAGGGAGATGCAAATGGCATAAATGGCAGATCAAAGAACACTTCCAAATAAATATGATAAAAATGATACACGTGAAAATTAGGAAACATAAGCATAAATAGGTATTTAACTAAAATGGGCTCGTTTTCATTGCATCTTACTGCATGATCTTGTACATTGCACGCAATCAGGCAATCATAGTTCTAGGAACTCGAGTAGTACGCTATTATAAACAAACGGAATAATGAATCATTGGGTTTGCTGACGTTCTTTCATACAACTGCAACCACTGTCTACGATTAGGCGAATGAGGCTGACAGAAGGAATTATCGGGGCAGACTTGCTGTTGATATATAAACGATTCTCATAAAAACGGAAGCCATTATTACATGATAGAGTACGACCTACTTGAAGGAGTGTCTGAGCAGTGGTGTTGTGTGGAAGGAAAGCAATCCCCGGAATGTTCCCGTTGAGGACCAGACGATTGGCAGGAGCAGAATCACTGGCAGCTGAGTCCGCGTATTCGCTACCGCCATTGAATCCAGTATCTGAACTTGCCCCCGATTCCAACGAGGAGGAAGAGCTTGCGCGCTGCCATCGAGGAAACTAAAGGAAAAAAGAGCATATTAGCATCCCAACGACAAGAAGTCCGTTAAAATATATTTTCAGAAGAACTCACCTGCGGACCGAAAATGGTCAGTTCCACGTCAGCCCATAATCCTTTATCAGTCTCCATTTCATTTAAAGCACCTGGCCTCTTATGTTTTGCCTTCTCCAGATAAGTATTACTTTCTCGCACCTCGGAGTCACTTAGATCGATATTCGATGTCTCGTTCGCCCTTCTTCTAGACAATCTAGAAGACTTTTTGCTTGATTTCCCAACGCCGGTTCGAGTAGGAGTTAAAGAATCCAGCTCTTCAACAATTACCCTCTGTTCGGGATCGCGATAGTCACCGTTGATCAACAACTGAGTATCTTTTAATAATGCACTAAGGTAAGGCTCAACGGCAAGCTGAAAATCAAATGGTGTAAACATGGCGAGTGTGAAAAAATGAACTAGAGCCGAAAACAACGAAAAACAACTAAACATAGATAGAACAGATACGCTTCAAGGAATAGTTTACAATTCGACAGCCCTTCGAAAGAGAACATGGGCAATTCTAGTTACTTTACCAAGATATCGAATGTAAAATGCACAAGCTCAGTCGGGATGTCGTAATTTCGGTGGCAATGCATGGTTCGTATAATAGGTACTCAGTAAATAGATGATTGACTTGAAAAAAATGGAACAGCCTTACGGACCAGCAGCATATACTATCATGGCGTATAAAAACAATTAACAAGGAGTTGAATTTGTATAACTTGCCTCGTGTTAAGCTAAACATCCGAGAGATGTGCCACAAGTAGTTTTTCAGATTATTGGGGAAAATACTTATATCAACATTGACAGCGTAGCTTATCTGGTTCAAACAGGGAAATATTAAGAGCGTGAAACCTTACGGGATCCGGCCAATTAAGCCCTGGTACTTGGAATGGTAATATAATATAAATCCTTTTATACTTTCTTCTTATTCATTGAGTATGTAACCGTGATCGACTTCTAGGGAGGTGGTGGTATCCAATCGGAGGCTATCTGGGAAGTACAAAAACTTAGATGGACAGCTGTGGTGGGATTTCGACACAGGACTTCCGGGCTCGTAACGATAATATTAAGAACCCGATCACCGTTTCCTTAATAGAATAGGAATGGGATTGAGTGAACCTATTAGCGAGAATTGCTAGAAATTCTCTAACAAATGTGTGCCAGTATACATGTGAAGAGGCTACCTATCACAAAAAATGGAGGTATCGGTGGTGGCAATGTTTGAACCTCGGACCTCAAAACTCAAAGCATCCAAATGAATGAGTTAAACCATTTAGCCATTGCCACTTTGCATTGCCTCTGTGAATTACACCATTACTTTCAGTTTTCACAACCATTAACCATACACACTCGTGCCGCGGTTTTGGTTGCTGTCGTTAGAATGTTGTTCGAATGTTGAGAGTAGTCAAACAGAAGGTAGGGAATTCAATTAGACCAAGGTTGCAAGANACCTACTACCTGCATCAGCAAACATCGCGTGTCGTGGCAATCTATATGGTGACATGTGTAACACATGCCCCAACCAGCGTATTCTAAGAGGGTCGACCACTTACGCGATTACCTAAAACTTTACGCCTAGCACATTTTTTATTACACAACTTAGTGTGTTGAACAGCAGATGGGCAAAGCCCATAATCACGAGGGCCTGTTGTTCAGTGATGGAAACATGTGACCCAAGCTCCGGGATTTGGAGTGGCGAACCATATAAGGCCCCGCTAGGCTAGGCATGGTATTGAACCGGACCACAGCAAAGCTGCCTACCACCAAATTCGGGTGGTGGAGCTCGAACTTGAGGCCACAGGGTCCAANCTTAATAAAAAGAAAAAATTTCCATGATTTACGCTTAACCTCCGCATTGCCCGTCCGGTTTCCCCACAAGACTCATGTAGTGCTGCGTAGACGGCAATGTTCGAACACCGACAGCCTGTTTTCATTCTGTTCTCAAAACGGCTAAGTCTCTGCAGCGTACAGAACCACTGGTCGAACAGCGGCAACAAACATACAAAACATGGAATCATAGTATCGATTCTTCAAAGGATTGGCTCTGAAAGAGCTGTCTATCCAAAAATCACCCGGTGTCACAAACAAGGTTATTCTGGGGAAAATACACTTTCTGGGTAGACGTGTATGGATAAAAAGACAAGATTACCGGATACGCATGCCTGACGAGCGGCAAGAACCGCTACACCGGTCGTGTGCTTCCAGGGAAATATCGTTCAGTCAATCATGTACTACTTATTATGAAGTACATATCACTGGCTTGTGAGAAAGCTTAGTGCTAAGGCAACAACAGTAATAACAGAACATGAGGCATTGGGACACAAAGCAAAGTAAAAGGGGGTCAGACAGTTAAGGTGAATCGAGAGAATAACATTTTTTTCACCGTACGCATTTGACATTTTTTGTTTGTCTCTTTATGCAGCACGGGATTTCAACAGGCAGACAGTGCGGTATTCGTGCCATCAACTTCTGTTCAGGGCCATATCTCACAGCGTCTCTAATCAACGACAATTCTTATCCCTTGGACCCCAACCTGGAAGGCGCGCTACACTAAACGAAGCTGAAGCTAGGTTCTTTACACCTCTACACTATCCCGTGGTTTGACCATCACGGATCTTTTTCGAACCTTGTCCAGCAAGTGCAAAGAGACACTGCGGAAACATACCGTAAAACGTCCCACCATAGTTGAGTGTTTTGGTCAACGGATGCTTGTCACCTCTCGAAATGCCTGCCAATGACCTGTGTTTACTTTTTTCACATGGATGGTGTTTCCATTAAAGCCATACGACGAACAATCGATTTCCTAAACCATAGCTATGTTGACTTGCCTCCGAAAGCTTCATTATGTTGCCTGTGAGTGTTTCAGGATTGTAGCTGGTCAGTCTTCCCTTGAATCTCGCGAAATACTTCCATACGGCCTCCACTTACTACCTTCCCGTGGCAGGTGTTTTCTTACCAAAGTGAGAGGACCAAAAGCCAATATACGGGGCTATAACCGGGTCGGTGAACCACTGTCAGTTCACTTAGGAGATTTAGCTAAAACCATGACTCCTAATCACCCAAGAAGCTCACGAACCACACATTAGTTGCAGTAGTGGTCACCGGCTGCACTGGACATGAAGATGTAATGAACACCTTGAAGCTGAACCCCGTCTCAAGGATGAATGATCAGATGAACTGGACGTTGGTCCCAATGGATTGCGGATTCCGCACACCGCTCCGTCACCTAGCATGTCAGGATTTGGCAAGCCGAAGGTTCCGGTTGTGAATCCACTAAGATTTACCTGTTTGGCCTTGGGTAGCCTAGCACAGGAGCTCACTAGAGCGGATCATGGAACCTTTTCTTCTTATAAAGGCTATTGCATACAGCTCGGACTTACAAATGTGAAAAAATAATAATGATTCGCTACCATAAGTCAGCCTTTTGATTTACAAGCGACTTGCTCCTACCTTGGAGTCCACCGGGATGTATTGTGCACCCTGAACAAGTGAACCCTTGGTTCAACCGAGCATAACAGAATCCACTGTGCATTGCTCTGTGATGGATTGCGGAATAAAAGCGATGGCTCAGGCTCTTGGTGCGATTATTCTGTGGAAGGCCTGAGGACTACTGGTACCCCATGAAGTAAAAAGTGCATTAGGTTAATTTTTGAATTACAACTGCACCGCAAAAATATTTAGTAATGTTCGATCATATACACCGATATTATCGCTCATAACAAGGGAATTAATGATGCGAAAACAGTTGCAGTGAACGAAATGTCAGAAATCCTATGTCAATACACAAGTTATATCAAATTAGTATTACGAACCTGAAGTTGCTTGAGAATCTTTTCTTTTTTCCGGTCAGATGGCAGACTAGTTTCGAGGCACAGACTAATACTGGTCTTGAAAGACTTCCATAAGGACGTCAACTCTCGGCACCTAACAGGAACTGATCTAAATGCCGGCTGCAACGAGTGTGAGTGGAGTCAGAAAACTTACGTGATCGGCACTTGTGTCTATCGCGCTACAATTGAATCTACACAATAGAAATGTGAAAAGTAACGTCTCACTTTGTTGTTTGTGGATCAACCAGTAGGATAATTCTATCAGCGTTTTGCTCTCCATTGAGTTCTTGAATTAATGAATCGTCTCGTGGTAACCGACAGAGGATCTTCAACGGGTTCTGTCAGACAGACAAGAAATTACCCTTTTTATCGTTTCCTGATGTGAGTTGAACTCTGATACCGTGCACATTAGGCACAATCCCGATATTCTAACTNACTCCACCAGGAATCATTCTTTGTAAGTTTTTGCAATGTGAAACAACCCATTTTTCATCGATCTGTTGAATACTCCGGGGCGAATAACAATCCCCTGAGTCAATTTTTCTTGGTAATTCAACCGGTAAGAACAAACACTCCTCGTTATCGAAAGACTAAAGGATTGAAAGCCTGTAAAAATAAACCTACGCCTCCCAACACAACGCCACATTGGAATCCATGGAGTCCGCAGAAGCGATCACTGAATGCAGGTTCATAGGAGACTGCCTTTATCATCATATAAAAACTCGTGATATTCGTAACGCACAATTTGGAATTAGCGCGGTTAATCAGTTCAGTTCAGTTCAGTTGCACAGGACAGGACAGGACAGGACAGGACAGGTCACAGGACTTGCGGCTTGAGCCAGTAAGG